CTTCCTGCCTCTCTCTTTCTTCTTTCCTTCCTCCTTTCCTCCCCGGCTTCCACTCTTTCCCTTCCTTTTTTTCTTCCTCCCTTCTTTCTTCCTTCCCTCCCTTCCTTTCTTTTATCTTATTTTGGATATCTGAATTGCCAGAGTCAGTATTTTTGTGATTTGGGGAGGACATTACTGTATAAAATCCAGGTTATTTGGACATAAGAGCCAGTTTCTGCAGATGACCTCATAACCCAGCAATTGAATAGCAAAGTGACCAGAGATACACAAGGAAGAAGCTGATTCACATCCTAGGTGGTAGAGAGTAGGGAGATGCAATATTTCATCACACCATTCAGAACAGTACACACTTTAGAAATTATGAATTGTTTCTGAAGTTTTCTATTGTCTAATAAACATCTATGTAAATCCTACTATTAATATATTTAATGGTGAACATTTTCCCCCTGAGATTGGAAAACAAACTATGATGTCAATTTTCTGTATACTTCTATTCAAATGTCCCGGAGTCTATGTGGGTTATTAAGGGAGTGTGGAAGGATAATATCATCACAAGACATAATGTTTTGTTTCTGTTTGTCCTTTTCTTTCTTATAAACAAGGTCTTACTCTGTAATTCAGGCTAGCCTTGAACTCCCTATGCACCCAAGCCTGGCCTCAAACTACCAAACCTGCTGCCTCAGCCTCCTGATGACCTACTAGAATCAAAGGTGTGTGACACCATTCCTACCACCCAGGTAAAGGTGGCCTCTAAATCATCATCACCATCATCATCATGTGCATGTGTGTGTATGTGTGCGCATATGAATACTCTAAGGCTCTAATCATCACTTTTACCCTTACTGTATTGTATTACATATAATATAATACATCCCTATTTAAGACAGTATCACACAGCCTTCTTTTTTCACTTCATAATAATATTATAATATAATTATATACTATATTAATATCATATCACACATCATCTATCACATATCATATATCATATACATTATATAGTATAAAGTATATATATATATAATAAAATAGGATAGAAATAAACCCTAAAATTATGATGAATTAATTTTTAAAAATATTTCCAGACTATTCTAGGTAAGTACCGTTATTTTTTAACTAGTGGTAACAGTTGTGCATTAACAATGGATTTATGATATGGCTAAAACTATATACACTTCCAGAAGGAAAAATTTCAGAGAACGTTGACACTTAACATAAGCAAACATTTCTATATATGGCACCCAAAGCACAATCCATTAAAGTTCATTAATTAAAATGTTACCACAATTTAAAAATTTGATATTCTTCAATCTCACAATATAACTGAGAGAATAAAGGAGCCACATATTCTGAAAACACAACATGAATATGATAAGAGTTATATCCACGGTAAAGGCCCCCACAACTCAATAGTAAGAAGGCAATCCAATTGTAAAAGAAGGGGAAATTTAATAAGTGTTTCACCAGGAAGCCACGTTAATGGCTAACGAACGAGATAACATGGGCAGCATTATAAACCATTGGCAAAAATGCTAATTAAAGTCAATGAGATGCCACCATATGGTGTGGTATTAAAATGACTAAAAGAAGTTGACAATGCTAACTTTTGAGGACATGGAGTGACTGGAAAACTTCTGCAGTGCTAGGTGGTGTATAAAGCAGGTCAGCAAATTCATACAAGACGAAGTATGTATCACACGCAATTAGGTAATATCCCTCTGCATCTGACCAAGCAAATGGCAACGTATATCTACAAAGAGATCTGCACAGTAAGATCTGGAGAGTCACTATTTATAATAGATCAAAACAAAATAATCCAATGAGCTTTAACTGCTAAGTAGATCAAGAAAGGAAACACAGCCACACAGCAGGATACAACTGAAAGAATGAGAAGCCTACAGATACACAGCTGTTTGTGAAAATTAAGCAGAAGCCATAGGAAAACCTCCGGCAGCGCATAACACCTTGTATCTGAAACATCTAGAAAAGGCACAGCTTTAAGGTAAAAACTGTCAGAGAGAGACTGGTCAAAGTTGCTCCCACTGGGGAGGGATGCTAAGTGCTTGAGGGAATGTAGACTTTTTGCATTGATGGAGGTATTTTAACACTAGAGTACTGAGTGTTACATAACTGTACATATTTATTAAAATTCACCAAAGTGTACATCTACCATAAGTTTATTTTACATTTATTTTTAAAAATGCATAGAAAATTCATTCCTTAGTAAGTTTATTTTGTTTAGGTTAAAATTGCCAGTTTTGCCTTTCATTGTGGGTACTAACAACACTATATTTAAAATAATGACTAAAAATATTTATGTTTTTTGTAATTGATTGGCAAAGTCAAGCAGCTTTGTTGAAACAAAGTAAGACAACTTTGAATAATTTTGTTTTTGTTTTAATTTTTTTCATCTGAAATAGCCATAGTTTCCCTGTGAATTCATTTGTAAAACATTTGTTTTTCTTTTTTGAACAAGGGATTACTTAATGTCAAAACATAATTTAATAATAAAATATACCTTCTGAAAACATCTACAAAGATTTTTTTCCCTTTACTAACTATGATTATTTTGAAATTATCACTGGTGAAAGTGTTTCATTTATTTATACTCATCAATAATTAAATTTCAAAGGAAATAACATCCTAATTGTAAGTGGCCAGCTAATGCCTTGTTCTGACCACATTATACATCTTTGAAAGTTCAGTATTTTGCAGGAAAAGAAGCCTCATTTATGAAAAAGATTTGGGAGGGTGGGGCTAGACAGGAAATAATGAACCAATTAGTGAGAAATAGCTACAGAAATTCCTGATTAAAAAAGGCACAGAGTGGACAAGAACCCGGCAGAAACTAAAATGGAAAATTAATGTACATTTCGGTGTCTGTGTTTTCAGAGCAGAAAGAAAGGCTAAGATGAGTCCTTCATTGTTAACCATCTACTTTTCAGTACTGAACCAGGAAAGGACAAGCTGGTAAGGACCCACACTTAAGAGTACCATGTCTGTCTTTGAGGGTAGGTGTACATAAATGGAGTGCCTACATCATGCTGTAGAAATTTTTGTCATGGGGATAAAATGAAAGAGTTACACTGGCCTCAGGCAACCAATCTCCCAGCAATCTCCATTGTTGTTTCCATTCCTGGATCCATATTCTTCCTTCAGGTTAAAAGCCCACTGATGCTCCTCACAGCCCTCCCTCTGCCTCAACTTAAAAACAAACAATACCACTGTGATACATTCCTTTTTCTCCTCTGGCTTCTCTCTTTAAGATAAGTCTTGGGAGAGAAGCAACTAATCTCAGCCACTCATAAAAAGACGGAATTTTGTGGTCCTCCACCGAGTGGACTCGGTATGCCTAAGCTTTCCTTAGATTTTTTTCCATCTGAATTACCTCAACTGCCTTCAGAAAGATCCCATCCCTCCCTTGCTTCCTGTGTGTGCATGCTGGTGTGAAGCTCCGAGTTGTAAGGTTCGACACCTGCCTCCTCCACTCATTTTTCCAGGCTTCTCCTCTTAGGAACTACTGATAGGTTCATCATCATGCACACTCCAGGGGTGAAACTGATCACAACTTGCTGTATGGATGAGAAGATTGGAGGGCAGGCCTTTTCATGATTCCCATATGTCATTAAGTCCATTAGACTCATACATAAATCAGCTTTCTCTAACTCCTAGGCAAAACAAACCACAAAACTTTCCTGGGTATAGCCCTATGCTGTGTCCCTGTTTCCTGCGGGTTTGGAGCTTGGGTGGTGATGATCTGTGTTAGGTTTGAATCAAGATTCTCCAGAACCTTTAAGGGCCTCGGTTTGTTAGAGCAAAAGCCAGTTAAAGCAAAATCCTGTCCTGTGCAAACTCAACCCACTTTGGCTAGACTTCTGTCATGTTCAGCTGGGGCAAATAGCAGCAGTTACACAAGCAGAGCTAGCCTCCCGGATGCAGCAAACCACCATTCTGTGTTCAAGGTTTACACCCATGAGTGAATTCAGAGCAGACCCAGAAAGACAAAGCCCTCAAACCAAGCTGCTGCCAGCAAACACCCTCCTCAGATCAACAGCAGCTTTTATTTAACCTGCCATTTTCTTAGCCATGTGAAAAGATAACCATTTTATTAACCATCTTAGACTCCGAAGTATAAGACAGATTAATGCTGCTATCTGCAGGAAAAGAGATCCGAGATGCAAAGGTCTGGTCCCCATTTTAAAATCTTTTCACTTCCTCCTGACACCTGGGAAACGAATTTTTTCTGAAAAATCTTACCTCCCCCAAATTCAAAAGCCCTTCCCTGCCACATAGAAATGGGCATGGGTGAGACAGCCCTAGGAATTTTGTTGTATTGATAGCATCTCAGGTAGCCAGGGCTGACCTCAAACCTGCAGTCCAGGATGACCTTGGACTTCAGGTCTTTCTGCCTCCACCTCCGCAGTACTTGGATTACAGTTTGTGGGAACTGCTAGTGGGATTACATCTTTGTTTCTGTTTTTTACGTGATACTGGAGATGGCGTGCAGGGCTTCCTGAAAGACAAATCAGCCCTTCACTGAGCTACATCCCTAGTCGAACCCCGGACTTTTCATTGGGGGAAGATTTTTCTAAAAGTTCCGGATTCTATTCTCTCTCTCCCTCTCCCCACCTTCTCTCCTCCACTCACCCTCCCCTGCTGCTTCTTTGAAAGGTTGTTTTTTATTTTAACAAATTCGCTGGATCCGCCCCCATTTGAAATCACTCCGTGGTCCTCCAAAGGGGGGAGTCCTGGGCAGATGCTCGCGCCGTTCATATCAGGGTCCCTAGCCCCGCCTGCTGCTTGCTCTACAAGTAGCCCAGGCTGGACAACTCTTTCCAGAAGTTCCCTCCTTCCCGGCAACAGAGCGGGGCTTTGATTGCAGGGATCTCCGCAGCAGAGCCCGGGTGCAGGTCCCAAGCCTGGCTCAGGCTCACGGTCCTTTGTCCCCAGGTGCAGCCTTGCGGGGAGCAGCTGCGCCAGCTGGCGCCCAGGTGGAGTCAATGAAGCGCAGCTTGAGGAGGATGCTGCGCCCGGAGGAGAGAAAGGAGCTCCAGGGCGTTGTCTATCGCGGAGTGGATGAAGACATGGGTTGCTCCAAGGAATCCTTTAAGGTACTGGGGAATCGGCGGTTTGGAGCATGCTGGGGCGTTGTGAAAAGTGGGAGGCTGGGTCGCCTTGCGTGTGGTATTCTAATACTTTCCCAGTGAGCAAAGTTTAGAAAACAGTGAGCGAGCACGGAAAAGGCAAGGGACTTGAGTATCAGGACACTGAGCGCCTGTAAGTGCTGCTTAGGATCTCGGGAAGGTCCTTTGTTTCGCTTATTTGTTTGCTTAACTCCATCTCGCCAGGGGGTCCACTGATGCCAGAGGAAGTGTTCCCCTGAAGTACTTCGGATAGTTTACAGTATTGGAATCCAGGGACTGCATAAAGCCAGGATGAATTTGGAGCTTGTGCAGTTCCGCCCGAACGTTTAAGCAGATTTGTCGTTTGAACTGAAGCGCAACTGCTGCCGCTGAGGGTCTGCTGGTCAGAGAGCCAACAAGTGTGTTGGGGGGTGGAGAAGCATTTCTATCTAAAAGTGGAATAGAGAACTCGGTCGGCACTTGTAAATGGTGCCTAATAGAGACCAGGGAGGACGGGAGGACCGCTGTGGTGGGGCTTCTAGTTCTCAGTTCTCTGGATGTTCTGACCTACAAAAAAGTCCCACTTACTACCCTAGGTGTTGTTGAGGCTGTCGCTCTGCTCTGAAGGGTAGAGGCTGGTTCTTGGACGCCCCGAAAGCCCAGCAGACTTCCATAGCTTGATAGCAAGAAGGGAGGGGATCTGAAATGTCAGGGTACTGGCTGGCTTTTCAGTTCCCACTGGGAATTCTTTTCCACCCTGGAACCATGTCAATAGTTTTTTCGGGGGGAGGGAACGAAATGTTTATGCAGACACAAACTTTCATAGAGCTTTCTTAAACTTACAAGGGTTATGAGCTTCCAGAGAGTGTGCTCTGATTCACACGTGAAGTAAATATTAGAATACTTTTTAATTCAGTACTTGAAAATGTACCTCTTTATATATACATAATATATTTATATATAATCTGTATTATATTATGTAAATATAATATATTTATATTAATATATTATATAAATATTTATATCTTTTTATAATTAACACATGTTAATATGTAATATTTAATAACTATATAATGAATATGCAAATTCATCTAAATATATAATCTACATTACATATGAATATAGAACTATGAATACATATATTTGCACACATATAAATATGTGAACATATGTATATAGATATATATGTGTATTATATATATCAACTTCACAGCATTCCATGTGTGGACTGTGTCATCATTTATTTAACTACTTATGCACTGATACTCACTTAGGTCACGTTTGTTTGTTGGTTTTGCTGTTTTGTTTAGCTTTGATGTTTTTATCTATGACTGCAGATGTGGTTTCAGCCTCTGTGTGTGTGTTGGTAGCTCGGTCCTAACAGAAGCAAGAGGTATGCACAACTTTAGTTTTGGATGACAGTGTCCCTCTACTCTTTATTCAGAAACCACTGTCAATGTGAATGGGAAGCGTCCTGCCTCCCAGGAACCCATGCACAAAGCCTCCAGGTTCAGCATTGTTCCCCATCCCCTTAAAACTCAGCACATTAGCCTTGGCCCTTTGCTGTAGTAGGAAGAACACGTCCTGAGTGAATTTCAGTAGTAGGATGCTGTCATTACAATTAATGAGGGGCAGAAAGAAATGTTAAGATTAAAAAAAAAACCTCATATAAGTTGTTTTCTACAGGTTTGTGGAAGACTTTCTAGCCATCCCAGGCCTAATAGTTTCTTTTTGTTTTTACGTTAGTGTCTTTAGTTTCATTGACTAAGTCAATGAATTAATTCAGGTTACTACTTTCAAAAAATACTTTGGCATTTAATCATTCTTTGGCTGTATATAGTCTTTCATTTTAGTTTTCTTTCCATTTTGATCATATTCTGATTAGACATATTTCATTCAAGTAAACTAAAAAGAGATGGGTCTGAAGTCTGTAATTCAAAGGGCTTAATTTAGAACTAACTTTTCTAAAAATGATCTAGTACCTGTTGTCTTGAATATAATCATAGAACTCAGAATTCAAAAAACTACACTAGATTCAATTTATATGTTAATCCACTACCAATGTAAATATACAAAATAGTAGGAAACAATAAAAGGACAACGCAGTTCTGGGATAACACTGATATTAGCATGATTTTTAAGTGTGCTTTCCAGATTTGAAACTATGCAATCAAGTAAAACATTTGCCTAAATTATTTTTTAGGATATTTCTTAAATAAATAAATAGTGACCACGACAAAAATCAAAATAAAAAAATATACTGAAAGCCAGTTGTATTAAATGGTTTTATTTTATATGATAATTTACCTATGGGCATCCCAGGTCTGTCTTAAGAGCTTTCTTAAGGAATTTTCTCAATGCCTTATGACATGTCAGGTTCTGAACAGAGGCAGTGTAACAAGCTTTATGAATTCACGTGACATGTTTGCAGTCTGTTTCACCACCATGAACTCAATAGCATCTTGTGTACCTCTGAACCTACTCTTTCCTCTAAAGAGTGGGGAAGGTTCATGTCAACTACTTATCTCTAAACAGACTTGTAAATTGCTTTTTTGGGCACTGGAGATGGGAGGGAGAACCACTAATTATCATCCAAACGATATGAAATTCAAGGGCTAAAATGCTTTCAAATTGATTTAAATGAGCACTTTCTTTGCTAAGGCAAGGCATTAAGGGTGGGAAAGTCCTAAATCTTAAAGCATCTCAGTTTAATTGTTGAATATGTGTAAATCTGAGAATGGCTGGATGCCTTTGTCCTATCCTGTAGTTACTAAAGGTGCATGGAATTGTTTTTAAGTGGGAAAGTGACACTTTTTTTTTTTTTTGTCACTGGCAACAGAAAGGTAGTTTTAAGTTCTATCCTGTGAAAAAAGAGGTAAAATTCAAAGTTGAAAATTTAGAGATTTTAGTTTGTTCCATTCTCACATTTAGTGAATTAATCCTAATATGCTAATTCCTGCTCTGTCTGATAGTTGTTCTTTGCAATAGTGTTGTAGATTCCTTTAAAATAACATATTGGATTTTGGCAGCTATCTTTCATGGCAAAGTTATAGCCACAGGAGAATTCAAGCAACTTTCTTGATCTTTTGTTTGGGGACTGTTTCTGTGGTTTGAGAAAAAAGTATTTATCATGCTGCCTTGGTTTTATGCAAAGCTACCGCCTTGTGGTCCATTTTGGTTTGGGTCTTTGTGATGAAGAAGTTATTGAGAAATAACTTGGAAAACAATTTAGTCAAATGTTCTTACCTGGCTGTTGTTTGTAAGTCTGGAAGGTACAATGTTAAATAATTAGAATCTCAGTACTACCCCAGAACTGCAAAAGACTTCTGTGAATTCTTCCTATTTTGTACATTTAAGCTTCTAGCAAACTAAAAGTCACTAAGTAGCCTATTGTGTGTAAAGGTCTGTAGGGGGCTGAGATGTAGCTCAGCTGGTGGAGTACTTGCCTGGCATGGATGTAGACCTGGTTTTGAATCCCAGCATGGAATGAACTTGAGTGGTTGAACATGTCTGCAATCCTAGCACTCAATAAGTAGGAACAGGACAATCAGATATTCAAGGTCAACCTCAGCTCTATAGCAAGTTTAAGACTAACCCTGGGAATGCCTGAGACCCTGTCTTAAAGTCAGGCAAAAAAAACTTTATGCCCTTCTATGCTCTGTATGAAAGCTTCTTTCTTCCATTCTTCTCTAGAAAACAAAAATTACACATATGACCATGTCATGAAAAATGAAGCATACATACGTGTAGCAAACAATGAACACGGTACATAAAATGAAAGAGGAGGAATGAATCAGAGTGTCAGATTTTATGTTTGAATTCATTTGAGCTTGAGCACTGCCCTGGAAAGGACCCGTTGTGTGAGCTACAGCTACTGTGTGTTGGATTAAAGAGTGAAGCGGATAAAACCTAAAAGACATACCTGGTGTGGTGGCTCACACTTACAATCTGAATACTAGGAAGATAGAAGTGGAAGGATCAGGGGTTTGGGGCCGCGCTGGGATGCCTGGGATTCTGTCTTAAAAATACAAAGCAATCAAGTAAACAAGAGCCTAAATTCTTATAACACACATTTCAGTCATATTGTCCGTCACTGCATATGGAGTCCACTCCGCACTGTGGACACTAGAGAGTGGGAGGCTAGAGGAGAGGAGGATTTGCTCCTGACCTTGGCATGGCCTCCAGGAAGCAGGACTTTAAGGTCTAAGGGAAGCTGGGTTAGATAATATCTAACCATTCACTTCCATGGACATCAGTTATTCTAGATGTCTGACTGAATGGAAATCTCATAAAACAGTTGGAGATTGTTAAATCTTCCTGTAATTATTGACTTCAAAAGTGCTTTATATTTTGTGTGAGGCAGATGTGTGCAACTTTCAAATAGCTGAGTAAAGAAGTTGCTTATTGTGTCATGGATATTAAGTGAAAGTTCTTTAATTAGTTTTGTCAGGAGTTGCCCGGTTTTCAGGAATAGAGCCACTGTTTTAGATGCCTGAACAAGCCCCTTAGGGACTTTGCTTCAGGGTGATCCTGGCTCCCCTGTGCAAGGAGAGGCTGGGTGGAGGGTGACTGCAGGTAGGAGGGACCAAAAATACAGAACTTTAGCTTCCTAGACTTAGTAAACCGTACATTCAAAGATCCTTCCCCTTCTTACTGTTCTTGTCAGGAGTCTCCTAACTGTACAAAATAAGGGCTTTCAGATGACATGTGCACATACGACTTTACTGTGTGTGCTTTGATTATTTTCAGTCCTTCTGTTACTGATTCTATTATTGATTCCTCTTGCTGTAACTGAAATAAATACATTTCACCTGGCAAAACAAAGCCTTCTGTGTTTTTAAACGTATTATTTATCAGAGCACTTCTGTAAATTTTCTCCAAAACTTTTCCTGAGGCTTTTATCTTTGTGACGGATGTAATATTATGGTCAAGCCCCCAAAATATTTGCTTAATGTATTTAACAATGTGTAGCCATTTGCCTGCTTTGTGTTTTGTCTTGTGTTTTATACTATGTTTTATATTTATACTGTGTTCTTTAAGAAAGCTGTTTGTGGTAAGCATGGCAGTTTGAATGGCAGTAAAGTGTAAGGCTATTACATGACTAGTTGTATATCTTTAAGCTTTACCCATGCTTGTTTTAGGTAATGAACTTTTTACATCCCTCCAGGTGGACATTGAAGGAGATATGTATAGATTAGAAGACTTCATGAAGAGCCGAAGAAAACTAAGCAAATGTGAGGATGAAAATGTCTCCCCTTTGCATCATGCAGCAGCAGAAGGTCAAGTTGAACTGATGAAGTTGATCATCCAAGGCTCTTCTTGCGAAGGTAACCAATTGTGACAGTGAGGAGCCATAGAACTATCATCCTCTTCGGTTTGTGGACAACTAGAAAATACGCACCTCGGACACCAGCAGTGCTTATGGGTACACTGAATGTGAACACTATGTCTGGGGAGCTTGAGGGAAATTTGTGAGTTCTTCTTTAGGAGATTAGATGTAAAGCATGACCAGCCATACCAAGAAGAAACAAAGTCACTCAGAGAGAGTGAAATTTGGATAGCTTGGGCATGTCCTCTTGGAAATATCACATACACAATCAGAACTGCAGAGGACGGATCCCCCCTCTAGACAATTGCCTAAGAAGAAATGAATGGACATGGGTTAGGCTAACAGAGGTTGACAATAAGAGATAGCTAAGGGAACTGACAAAATGAGGATGGCAGAGGTGGAGTGGAGTGGACAAGAGAGTGGTGGGACACAGCCAGGGGAGAAGTCACTGGGAAGATAAATTAAGTAGATCATTTGCTACAAGCACATCAAGTAGAAAGGAGGGCCCAAGAAAGTCTATGTTAGAAAGCCCCTGTGATTACAGAAAGATGAATTATAAAACATGGTCAAGATAACAATCATTTTCAAGTTGTGTGCTGGAGCATCATGCTGCTTAATTGTTTGATGCTAAATAGAATTTTTGTCTTGCTTAAAGAGATTGGGGGTCAAACACATGTATGTGTGCGGTGGGTTGCAATTTAAGAACTTGAATGAATGAAAAAAATAGAGAAAGAAATTTTTAAAAGACAAAGAAACAGAAAACTTGCTGTCTTATGGCTCCCACTACTGTTGATAGCTACCAAGTCTGATTCACGAATACTTTTCCTTTCCTCAGACTTAGTGATATTCACCAATATTAACTCGTCATAGCTAAAGTGCAATGCAGGTCAAAGTGCATTCTATCCTCACACAGCATTCTCAAGGCAAACAATACCACATGTCATGGGGTTATCTTCTGGGCAGTTGCAAGCTTGAGTGACATCACAGCTGCATGGAGCCTGGCTATGATCTGCTAATTCTGTATTATATCTGCTAATCAACATTATATCACAGTAATAAAATTTAAATGCAGATAAAAAGTATAGCAACAAGAGGATCTAATTTTTAGATACTATGTAAAAATTTTTAACCCAATTTTTAAGATCCGAAAGTATTTTCACATAGTCTCAAATGGTGTCTGTTGGATAAATTTGAAGCTAAAACTATATCCTATTTCTACATTCTAGGACAATGCATCTGGTTTTAAAAACACTTGACACTGAATTTTGGAGTGGTTAGTTACTCCAGAAGTATTAAATACACCCCCAACAAAATTTAATGTGTATTTTGTTATTTCCTTAGTGCTGAATATAATGGATGATTATGGAAATACCCCACTACACTGGGCTGCAGAAAAAAATCAAGTCGAAAGTGTCAAGTTTCTCCTCAACCAAGGAGCAAATCCAAACCTCCGAAACAGAAACATGATGGCGCCCCTTCACATAGCTGTGCAGGGCATGCACAATGAAATGATCAAGGTGAGGCTGCTAGCCACCTGGCAGTGAGGCTGACCACGAAGAAGGGGCCAAAACCCACATCTGTCTCACTTCCTGTTTCAAAGTGGCCAACTGCAAGTGTCATGCAATGGCAAATGAAATGTAACAATTATGTTTTTTCTTGCCAAATGATTGCGGTGATGGTGATGAGGTGGAAGAGTGATGATAATGAGACAGAGAATAAGAGATTGTGATGGTGGTGGTGGTGACTCATGATTGATGGTGGTGATGATGATGATGGGAAGGCAACGGGGAGAAGGGTAGTGATAGGTGATTATCGATGAGGAAGATTGTGGTAATATTTGGTCATACTAATCACAGTTCAGCTTTTTGTGAGTTTTGATTTATCAGGTATTTTTAAAAAAAGCTGTGTGCCTTTATTAAACTCTCACTTTAAAAGTGTAAGTTAAGACTATTGGTGTCTCCATGATATAGCTGAATAAGAAGAGGCACAGAGAGAATTAAATAACCAACCTAAAAATGCACAACTGTTTAAAAAAAAGAGTTGTGTTTCTAGCTCCAGGCTTTGCCATTTAGATTTCTTTGATTCTGAGACTAAAATGCAAAGGATGACTAGAACAGTAGTAAAGGTACAACCCGTTGTTATGGTGTCCCAGTTTTGTTATATGAATAGCCAGATACAGGGGTCATATGGGACAATTTTACTTTCTTCTCCTTCTTCTTCTTCTCCTTCTTCTTCTTCTTCTTCTTCTTCTTCTTCTTCTTCTTCTTCTTCT